GGCTTCGCCACTGGTTATTGTTCAAGTTACGGTAAAAATTAAAGTTATTGACGGCCCGTATTTTACTTATTTGAAACAAATTTTTGCCTTAAAAGGCACTGAACTTTAACGAAAGCTTTTTCTTAGTTAACGAGTATCGGTTGTGCTCAAGTCAGTCTGCCACACTTCCAAGTGATTGTTGCCCTTCGCGTGAAGGTAAAGTGTGTCCTTGTAAAAAATCCTTATTTTAATGCCTGTTTACTCCAATATTTTGGTTTCTTCCTTCCTTCCTGGTATACAATAATTTCCCGACTAGCTGACGATTGTGTTCCACCCACTCCCTATCTAGCACCGCGCGCGCCCCTGGTGGTTGCAATCATGAATTCCCTATCCACTATTTAACAATTAGTCGCCGAAGGCGAGGTGATTACAAGCCTATAGTCACTGAGCCGAAGGCGAACTGAATATAGGCTTGTAATCACCGAGCCTGAGGCGACTAATTGTTTTAGTATAAATTTCCAGGTGTTTACAAACAATAATCCACACAACTTTATAAAAATTCACTTCAAATAAATTTATTTACACTATAAATAGTTTGTTTACAAAATTTAAATCTCAGACACGGCTCTGTGTAGCGTTGTTAGTTTTTTTCCAAATAAAAGCACGTAAAGTTTAATATTTTACCTTGAAATATTTTTAAACCATATTTTGTAGCTTGTTTGGGTTTTTTCGGAATGCTATCTTCTTTAATTTTGGCAATTTCCTCCTCTGTTACTACGGCAAAACGAGCAAGCATTTTGAAAAAAAAAGCTATAGTCACTGACCAGTGACTATCTCTTCAGAGACAGAGAATCTTGACCAATCAGAATGCAGAAAAATCAATAGTCACCTGGAAATTTATACTAATCCATATTCACTTCCAGTACAAGTGACTTCATCTAACCATATTTTTCTAGTTCCAGAAGGAATCTGGCCTGTTCGAAGAGCTTGAACACTCTATTTATATCCAAGTTGACGACATACAACTTTAGCATAATTTATATTCCAACTATCATCACAAATTGTCCCCCATTGCCCTCTATAGAGTACTTCCACGCAGCCAGTAAAATTTGCACTTGATGGTCCTTGTAACCTGACAGGTTTTTAAGTACATCTTAGGTTTCTATAAACAGGAACAGTACACAACGATAACTTTACCTGTTAAAGAACATTCAACTCCAGCGTCCTCATTATGCCCACAATTATGACGTCCCCAACCACTATGAGAGCAACTGGCCAGATTTTGTTCACTCCCAGTACAGCTAACATCATCTAACCATATCTGCCCAGTACCATCAGGAACAAGGCTCCCTTGTAGTGCTTTAACAGCATTTAGATAACCAAGTTGACGACATACAACCCTGGCATCATTTATATCCCATGAATCATCACAAATTGTTCCCCACTGCCCATTGTGTAATATTTCCACACGTCCATAACCAGAGGATCCTTGTATCCGGATTGTTATAGCTGTGAACATTTAATACAAAATAATTAGAATGAATAACAGGTGCAGATGATGAGATATAATTTTGGCTACGTTTCAAGTGCGGTACACATTACATAATGGATGCAGAATGGTTGGCTAATTAGTGGCAGTAGAGACCCTCCTTTTCTTTCTCCAAAAACAAAAATAAATAAAAAATAATAATTTAATACTCTGAGGTGACACAATAATTTACAACAAAATACATTACACAAATATAGAGTAAAGGCTACAAAGAAATAACCATAAGGGCTAATCAAGCTAAGTAGCACATTTAGACAAAAGACACAAGCGACAGACGAAATGTATATACTGTATATAATCAATTCACATGCATTAAGCATCTCTTAAAGCTGAGGAGCATCTCTTAAAGCTGAGGAAAAATGCCATTAACAAGAGAGATAACGAGAGCAGTCATCGCCTACAAGAAAGGATTAATAAACTCATTTGGAGCAATCAACTCAAAGCAGTTAAACAAGAAAGTAAGAACCAAAATTGTGGATCTAAAAGATGGTGGTCATTAGTTAACAAAATAACTGGTCGTGGTAATAGTGAAGTAACACTAAGCCACATTATTGATCCAAAGGTAATGAATGAGCATTTTCAAACTATTAATACAGATCCTGACTATGTTACCCCTCAACCTCTCCCTATTCCCCGTTGCGCAAGAGTACCACCTGAATTATCCGTCCATTCTGTTTGTAAACTACTATTAAATCAGAAACTAACCACCTCGGGTCCAGATGAGTTACCACATTGGTTTTGGAACACCTATGCATATGATATTGCGCCTGTGATAACCATCATTTTTAACAGCTCAATCAAACTGGGCATTGTTCCTGACAGTTGGAAACTAGCAAATCTTTTACCTGTCCCCAAAGAATCTCCTCTGACAGAATCAAACCAATAGACCTTTCCCCTTTAAAGTGAGATTTTAATCTAGACAATTCTGGACAAAAATTTCATCACAGCTTGAAATAGCATACCTAAATTAGTAATATTCCGAAGTTTCGTTGCAAAATGTTGTAAAATGCGGATAATATAGCCTTGAGAAGTTTGCCGTTTTTCAGTCATTTTGCATTACAAACGGGAAATTGATAATCAGATGACCAAACCGATTATCAATTTCCCGTTTGTAATACAAAATGACTGAAAAACGGCAAACTTCGCAAGGCTATATTATCCGCATTTTACAACATTTCGCAACGAAACTTCGGAATATTACTAATTTTGTGATGCTCTTTCAAGCTGTACTGAAATTTTTGTCCAGGCTAGTCTAGATCAAAATTTCACTTAAAAGGGGAAAGGTCTATTACAACCCATTTCGTTGACTAATATAATTGTAAATTGTTCGTCTTTTTGAAAGAGCAACCTATACAACTGAATTAGTCCAGGTGATGGAAATGCCATCCATAAAGATCAGTTTGAATATAAAAGAGGTTATAGCTCTACAATGGCCCTAATAAAGGTGCAACATACCTGGATGGAATGGTTGGATGGTAATGCTAGTATGGTACGCGTCGTCTCTTTTGATTTGACACGGTACCGCACGAGATTTTATGCAATAAGCTGAGGAAGCTTCCTATCAGTCCCTATATTAACAATTGGATCATCAATTTCCTAACCAATAGGTATCAACGAGTCATTGTTGATGGCGTTAAAACAGAATATTTGCCTATAAATCGTGGAGTTCCTCAAGGAACAGTATTAGGTCCAATACTGTTTTCTATAATGATTAATGATATCCGTCCTGTTCAAGCCTCAAACTTAATTGTTAAATTTGCAGATGACATAAATCTAGGGATTAAGGCCACAGATGATAGTGACGCCTCTTATATGGAAACAAACAATATTATCAACTGGGCGGAAACAAATCGCATGAAACTTAACTATAAAAAGACGTGGGAGACGGTCATTCGCGGCAAGATAACCCGGCCACTTCCTGCGCCTCTGCCTATGATTGTTCGTAAAAGTTGGTTGAAGATACTTGGTGCAACATTTCAAGAGAATCCTTCCATGTGGGAAATGCATCTAGATGAATTAATGAGTAAAGCCTGTAGCTGAATGTACATTATTCGGATTTGCAAATATTATGGGTTTTCTAGGAAAGAGTTGGATCTTCTGTTCCATAGTCTTATTTTATCAATATTAGCTTTTGGTATAGAGGTCTGGGGATGTGCGTCGTATTCTAAGTATCTTAGTCAAGTAGATAAATTTTTAAAACGTGCATATAAGTATGGATATCTTATGTATCAGGTATCGATTGTTAATATATTAAACAATAACGATAGAGATTTATGGGAGAAAATAACTACGGATCCCAACCATGCCCTGCAAGTTTTGCTGCCTCCTAGTCGCCAATTAGAACTACGCAATCGCGGACATGAGTATGAACTACCGAGAGTTCGAACAGAAAGGTTTAAAAGAGTGTTCGTTAATATATGTCTTTTTAACTTTATATGATATTTTTAAATTAGAAATTAACTTGTTAGGAACAACATTAAACATTATAATAATGGTATTTTAGCTCTATTAATGAATAATATCAATACTAATATAGTAATTAGTATTATAATTATTGATAAGTAAGTGCAAATTGTAAGCCCGCACGTTTGTTGTGAGGTGTTGCTTTTAATATTTTAATAAACATTTATACATACATATACAGGTGGTCTAGATATAAAACCACATTGAGAAACTATGTATTGTCTCAAAATGAGGCCGAAAGTCAATCATTCACTACTGGCCGATTTAGACTACACAACGTTTGCCTAAAATAAAACTGTTCCATGCAACCTGCTTACAACTTGAGTTGTACTGTGTAAATCAAGCGTACATTTCGTTGACGTTGTCGTAAGTACGTTGTGTGCTTTGTAGTGTATCGGGCCAAAATACAGAATTTTCGATGGAACAACATATAAAACCAACAGTCTGCTTCGGTGGTTTAGGAATTAACAATCAATTTCGAAGTACAAGTAAACATCATTACGACCTAGTGCATTACTAATTAACCTATTACGGTAGTTAGTTGTATATTAATTATGGGGTGGATACTACATCTCTCCCCACATTAGAGTCTTTCTTCTAATGTTCTAGATATTTATCTGTCTATGAACTATAACTTTTTTTAAAGGAGTCCGATTGTTCTAAACCAAACTTCAAATTTCAAAATATGAACGTTATTGCAAAGTTCAGATTAAATAACGTGTCCGCTTATTTATAAGTCAATCTGTTAAATAACGTGTCCGTTTATTTGGTAAGTTAATCTGTTGGAGCGTTGTCTTTGCCGCTGGGATCTTCTCAGTGGTGGGAGTACAGCAATTTGTTTCTGGTGATGTTGGCCACTTGGGATTGGGTCGTCAGCTTCGTCGTCCGTTTCATTTTCTGTAACTGGAGTCGTTTCAATCTTTTTGAAAAACGAAACATTGCGTGTAACTTTGTAGGGACCATGTTCAGCGGTGACCATACTTCCCTTTCTTGCTACAACCTTGTAAGGATGTGGATTAATTAAAAGGGGTGGACAACTTGTTTGTTTTTGGTTGTCGGATTAGGACTGCTTCGCCTACTTTTATTCCACTAGTTTCAGACCGTCGTCGTTGGTCGGCGTATTCCTTCATCTTTCTCTTCTTTTCACTATCTTTCTCATGGATGGAATTGTAGATGTCAGATTGGTTGACTTCAGTGAGCTGGGGATGAGGCGTTTGTATTTTGCGACCGTTCAGAGCTTCAGAGGGTAACACATCAGTAGCGCTGTGTGGAGTTGCACCGTACTGGCGTAGAAATGCGTTCACTTCTTGTTTCCAATTCCTCTTTTCTAGATGGGCTGTACGGATTGCTTTTTCTAGTGTTTGCATAAAGCGTTCGACCTCGCCGTTCACTTGGGCCCAATAAGGCGTAACTTTTCGATGCTCAAATCCAAGGAAACTTGCAAAGTTTGCAAATTCGTTGCTATTGAAAGGGGGCCCATTGTCCGATTTGACGACTTTGGGTATTCCTTGTCTAGAGAAAATACAATCGAGTTTGGGGATAACGGCGTTGGCAGTTGTGGAATGGAGGATTTCGACTTCTGGAAACCTACTTAATTCGTCAATGACCACAATTAAAACTTCACCCGAGGGGAATGGGCCAACGAAGACAATGGCGATTTCACACCACGGCGCTTTGGGTAGTGGGGTCATATTCAATGGCTCTGGTTTTGGCATGATACCTTGTGTCGGGATACATGGGATACAGTTTTTGATTCTCTCTTGAACCATCCTGTCAATCGACGGAAACCAAACCTTTTCACGTAATAACCGCTTGGTCTTTACTATTCCCTGATCGCCTGTGTGTGTCAATTCAATAGCTTGATGTTGAAGTGATTTTGGAAGGACCAGACGTGTTCCTCGGATGATTAAACCATCGCAAACGGAAAGTTCATACTTAACATTTGTGTACATCTGGATTTCGGGGTCAGACCAGTGATTGGTTTCGATTGCTTGTGATAGTTTTTGGAGTGTGGAATCGTTCTTTATTTCTTTCTGGACTTCTGATAAGGTCATAGCTTTTGGAAGTATGTTGTTGCAAAGATAGTTGACGTAATTTTCGGCGATGTTATCTGGAAAAGGGGTAGCTTTATCTGGATAACGGCTGATGAAGTCGGCAGGATAGCATCATCTTTTCCTGGCCTGTAAATAATCTCGTAATTATACGCATTAATCTCAGTTTCCATTGGTCGATTCTGGGAGAGGTTGGTTTGTGACTCTTGAAGATGCCAAGAAGAGGTTTATCATCTGCGATCACCACGAACTTCGCACTATATAGATAAAGATGATAATGTTCAGTCGCCCACACGACTGCAAGCGTCTCTCGTTCTGTTTGGGAGTAGCGATTTTCGACATCAGTCAGCGCACGGCTTCCGTAGCTGATGACTTTACCATCTTACATTAGAATAGCTCCTAGACCCGTCCGGCTTGCGTCAACGAGTACTTTGGTGAACTTCGTTGGGTCAAAATAGGCCATGACTTGGTCACTAGTTAGCTCATTCTGTAGCTTTCGAAAAGCGGTTTCTTCATCTATCTCCCATTTCCAAACGGAATTCTGATGGGTTTAGGCACGTAAAGGGGCAGTAATGGTGGCATCATTCGGGATGAAACGTGAAACGTACTGTGCCATACCAAGGAGGGACTTCACTTCGCTTGGATATTCAGGAGGTTGCATGGTCTTAATAGCAATGATCTTCTGAGGGGCTGCTTTGATTCCTTCGGCGCTGAAGGAGTGCCCATAGAAGTTATCTTCTGACTTACGGAATGCACTTTTGTCTCGGTTAAGGCGGGCATTGTGTTCTCGCAGACGGGTTAAAACGCGGTTCAGGTTTTCGTCGTATTCTCTGACGTCACGACCGTGAACAATGATGTCATCGGAAATGTTCTTGCATCCCGGTAGGCCAGTTAAAAGCTCAGCAATTCAATTTTGGAATATTTCTGATGCGGCATTTAGAAGGTACAGATAATTCCTTCTAATATATCATTAGTTCTGGGTCTATCTCTATAAAATCACAAGGACGTTAATGTCAAGTCTTTGGGCTATATAATATGTCTCTGGGCTGAATGTTTTATACAAAGATATAAAACGGAATCTATATGTAATGGATCAGCATTGAAATTTCCAACACGGTTTCCGAAATGTAATTCAAGAGATAACTTATCATTGCATTTGAACTATTACATCAGTTGGTGTTATACATGTGCGATAAGCGAATATTATTGGAAAGAGGGCTTTTATATATATATATACGTCCAAATCATCAAATAAACAGCTCATCTCATGCACACATTTCTCCAATTTGTGGTAAGTTTACAGAGCATATTTTATACTTTGGGACTGATCTTTGTTTTTGATGTGAACGTTTATTCTTATAGTTTAAGGTTATTTAAGATTGATCCTGTCGTAAGTCTTCTACCTGCAACCATTCGACAATATTTCATTTTAGCGTCGTCTTTGCCGTTACGTTGGCTTCGCGTTACTCTTGTTTTAAATATCTTGATCGCATTAAAATAGTTAATTTTCTGGCCAGTGACATAGCTAAAAGACTTCGCATTAATGTCCTCGTGATTTTATAAAGATATCTCTAGAACTGATCGAGGATTTTAGAAAGCGTTATCTGTAGCTTCTCAAAGTTGTAGACAAGATCGATATGTTGTTTACATCCAAGCCGCATAAGATTGCATATAAGCGTAGATAAATCAAAAAAGAAGTACGAAACTTAAAACACTTTGTGAAGAAAGATTTCATTTGTGACTTGCTTAATATACGTTGGCAAAGAATAGGAACTATTAATGATCTTAATTTGGCCTGGAAGGCGTGGGAAAATAAGTTTAATGAGGTTTTAGATAGGCATGCGCCTCTGAGACTTCAACGTATACGGCATACCGCAATTCGATGGCTAAATTCGAACATTAAAAAAATGATGCGTAATAGTGATTATCATAAAAAACAATCAGTTAAATATGGCTCTGAGTGCCACTGGAGACTTTATCAGGCCTCCAGGAACAGAGTCAATATTGAAATTCGGAAAGGTAAATCCCGTTATTACTGTCAAAAAATTGGCGAATGTAATAAAAACAATCCAATAACTACTTGGAAACAAATTAATTCTCTTATTGGTCGTGGCTGTAAAACAAAACATGTTAATGGAATTGAAATTGACGAAAAAATTATTCGCAACGATGAAAATATATCTGAAGCTTTTAATGAATTCTTTATTAATATTGGGCCTAAACTAGCTTCTGAAGTTTCAAATCAGTCAACAAATAAGGTTGAAACTTATTTGGAAAACAACAAGTTAGTTATTCCATCCTTTCGTTTTATGTTTATTCCAGTGGATAATGTTTTGAAAACTCTAAGACGTCTAAATATAATTGCACCCTCTTTAACTTATATTTTTATTCTATCACTTTCAACTGGAGTGTTTGTAGAAAATTGGAAATATGCGAAAGTTATACCAATTTATAAGGAAGGCAACAAACGAACTTTGGAAAATTATAGACCAATATCAATTCTACCGATAATAAGTAAGGTCTTCGAAAAAGAAATCTTTACACAACTTTACAAACATCTAAACGAAAATTGCCTTATATCCAAATTCCAATCCGGATTTCGACCAGGGCACTCTACAATTACAGCTCTAATTCAAATGTGTGATAACTGGTACGAAAATATGGATAATGGCAAGTTAACGGGGGTAGTTTTCCTTGATATCAGAAAAGCTTTCGATTCAATAGATCATGTTATACTACTTGAAAAACTAGCTTTCTATATGGCGTTTCTCAACTTAAACTTGCATGGTTTCAATCCTACCTCTCAAATCGGCAACAACAGTGTCAAGTAAATGGCTGCCTCTCTAATAAAGGTGAAATCATTTCCGGGGTTCCACAAAGTTCCATATCTCACCTGTTGTTGTTCCTAATTTATATCAACGATCTACCCAACTGTCTAAAGACAACAACACCCTGTCTATATATGCAGATGATACCCAAATTTTCGCCTCTTCGTACACCTTTGTTGCGCTGGCTAATGATATTAACTCTGATTTTGAAAATGTCACAGATTGGTTAAATGTAAATAAACTCCAATCCCATCCTTTTAAGGCTAAGCTTATTATCATAGGATTAAAACAAAATTTGACCAACAAAGTTGGTGAATTGTACAACAGCATTATCATGAACGATAAGGTAATTTCATCTGTTGTCTTGAATAAATGTTTGGCAGTTGATCTTGATGATAGGTTGACTTTTGATATCAATATTGAAGAAATATGCAAGAAGATCTGTTCAGGCATAGGAGCATTGAGGAGAATTAAACCATTCGTTCCGCAGACCTCTCTTGTTACATTATACAAATCATTAATCCAACCATATTTTGATTATTGCTCTCCCTTGTGGGATACATGCGATAAAATATTAAAAGATAAATTGCAAATATTACAAAATCGTGCGGCTAGAGTTATCACTGGAGCAAGATATGATAATAGGATTAGATCAAGTGATCTTTTGGAAGGTTTAGGATGGGATAATCTACATGTTAGGCGGGCTAAATTGAAGAGTATCCTAATGTATCAAATCCTTAATGAAAATTGTTCGCCATGTTTAAGAGAAAGCCTTAATAGAGGCCATAATGTATGAAATCAGGAAACGGGTCTAGCACTTCCAAAACAAAAAACTAATTTTTTGAAGCGAAGCTTTAAATATAGTGCATCAATGTTGTGGAATAATCTTCCATTAGATGCAAAAAGAGCGACTTCGCTCAGTCAATTTAAGCGTAGTATTGCGGAACTGTCCTTTTAGAACCATGTTGACTTAATTATAGTTAACTCTCTTTACTTACTTAACTTGATGATGATGATGATTCCAGCAAAACCGATCTTTTGTTAAAAGGAAGAATGGTTAATAGAAATCGGTCCTTTTGAGTGACATAATCGTGTATCGTCATCGATCCGTATCGTTGAACAATGAAAAAATTTGTTGTGAAATTAATGAAGATAAAATAGCATTTTGTGAAAAAATCTGCGGCTCTACGAAGTGGGAACTTTTCGGATTTGAACTCGGCGTGTTCGAAAGTGTTAGTTCTTGTAAAACTATTTCAGATCTAAGACATGCGGACTAATAATTATATTATGACGACGATTACGTTATATAAATGTGATTTGTGTTATTTGGTGCAAGATATAGGCCGTGGGCTGTTGTGCGAAAAAGTGCCTAGAAAAGCAATTTCGTGGCACCTTCCTGGGAAATAGATTTTCTGTGGTTCAATTCATAGAACCATAGATGCTTAATTACCACAAAAAGTTCCCAAGCAAAAAACTTGCCCAACACCGAGAAAATGGGTGATCAGTGATTATCCTCTAT